AGTCATACGTGTATCTTTTTTTTCTTTTTTTTGAAATGGAGTCTTTCTCTGTTCCCCAGACTGGAGTGCAGTGGAGCAATCTCAGCTCCCTGCAACCTCTGCCTCCCAGGTTCAAGCAATTCTCCTGCCTCAGCCTCCCCAGTAGCTGGGACTACAGGCGCATGCCACCATGTCTGGCTAACTTTTTGTATTTTTAGTAGAGATGGGGTTTCACATGTTAGCCAGATAGTCTCAATCTCCTGACCTCATGATGTGCCCATCTCGGCCCCTCAAAGTCCTTGGATTACAGGCGTAAGCCACTGCATCCTACTGATAAATTTTTTAAGTTTTTCTGTTTTGATGTATATTTTACTATTTTTCTTACAATAAATGTTTCATGTATTTGTATGATAATGGCAAACTTGGATACTGTTTATAAAATTTTGAAACATTTCGTTTTCTCTGACATAATTAATATTTACCCATAGGAGCAAATTACTCATAAATCACTGCTGCTTTGAAAACAAAAAGTTGGAGCCTGCTCTAAAATGAATCAACTCAGTTTTGTTCTGAAACTGCAGGTTTTTCAAAGTTAGCTATTATGTTTGATAAAATGTGTCTGTTAAAATATTAATGTTGATTTTCTAAATTCATTCATGCTGACAAATAGCAAAACATCATTACATTTTACCTAGGAATTCTAGTTAATTAAATACCAGTTGATCTCTTCATGCTTCTATTGTGTTTTCTATAATAACTTAGTCAAAAATTCCTTGAAAATAGGAAAACACTCCATGGCAAATATTGGATGTTGTGTTAGAAAAAAGTTGAAGCTTTTTGTTCTACTTTAGAAAATCAGGTGTTTGTTAAAAGTTTTTGAATTAATAATTTAGCTAATGACGTTTATTTAAATAGCTACCAACAGTCATACAGGGACACAGCATACTGTCACAAAAGTTAATTTATTAAAGGAAACCATAAGACTTCCTGGAGAAGCACTTACTTTGGGAGCCTCATGGCTTAGCAGAACTATTAGAGTACCAGAATTGTAGGTTTTATTTCTGATTTCACATTTACTATTTATAACATATGAGAGCCTAGATATTGACATTTTATCTCTATACCTCAAATTCTTTCTCTGTTAAAAACATACAGTTGGACTATATGTTGTTTATAGTCTCTTTTTGCTCCAAAAAGAAACAAGTTCATGAAATATATAAAAATTATTGTTATATTTAAATAAAATATTTAAAATATTTAAATTGTGCTATATTTAAATGTTATTTAGAAAATTATCCCCATAAATATTATGCTATATAAATAAAATAATACAATAATAGAAAGGGATAAGATTTTGCATTCCTCATAATGAAAAAAATATCTTTTTTTAAAAAAGACAATATAGCAGGATAATGAATTCCAAATCTGGAATAACATATTTGCGAAATCCAATAACACATTTATTTCAGTTTTATTAATTTTCTTTAAAAATTTTAAAAATAAATATATCACTATACATTTGCATTCTGCTGTACTTCTGAAAGTGGATCATGTGAGTTGGTTTATTCTTGACCCACCCAACTAAAACACAGTCAAGATGCTAGAAGGAATAAAGTACTGAGCACATAGCATTGCTCTAAGAATGTAATTTTGGGTGAGCCTGGTTGTTAGAACTGTCTGCTATAACCTAAAACCAGTTGAATCTAATGGATCTACTGTAACTGTAATAGTTTTACTTATTACCCTCGTTTATAAATCAAAACTTACCAGCTCCTCACAACTGTACTCTGCTAATTAACTTTCTCAAAGAGCAATGCATATTTCTTTTTTGTATAAAACTTCTAACCTTCTCTTTGTTCTCTGTGCCCAAATTGCAATTCTTTCTTCTCAAATAAAATGTTTCAGAGATTTGTCTCTATATGTTTTAGTTAACTTCACCATACTTTATGATACAAAAGGAATGACAACATATGAGTATAAAGTGAATTTTGATTGTTTTCATCCATTATTGGTATGAACAGTCAAAAAAAATGTTGCTGCCTCATTAGAATTTGAGGTTAATTCTACATACAGCAGAATAAAGACTTTTGTAGTTCATTGAGTAAAAGGTTCATAAATGTTTTGTATATGTATCAGAATATACTGGGGAACTTTTCTTGTTGCTTCAAAATTTTACTAGAGCCTCAAAACAGAGGATAAAGCACAATACTGTGATCAGGTTTTAAATAATGTCAAAGGTACATTTTATTTTCCTGGGGAAAGATAGACAGAGGAAGGTGATGAAACTGAAGTTGTGATCATCTATCACATCAGACCAGTAAAAGGAAAATTGCACTCTTACTCATCCCCCTTCTCTCTTCTTTAACCCTGGAGTAACCACAAATGTCCACTATGGGGGCGGGGGAGAGAGAGAGAGAGAGAGAGAAAGAGAAAGAGAATAAAAAAATTGAAAGAACACACCACATTTCTGCAACTACCCACCTCCACCTCTGCAACTGCTAGTCTCTAGGACACTGCTCAGGCCTCTACTGAAAGAATGAAAGGAGACTCGAAGTGGACCTGAGTTTTAAGTTTTTACGTAGTCTGTTCTGAAATAAGTCTATACTACTTTGGGAGGCCAAGGCAGGTGGATCACTTGAGGCCAAGAGTTGGAGACCAGCCTGGCCAACTTGGTGAAACCCCATCTGTACCCAGATAAAAAAAATTAGCTAGATATGGTGGCAGACATCTGCAATCCTAGGGACTCCAGAGGCTGAAGCAAGAGAATCACTTGAACGTGGGAAGTGGAGGATTCAGTGAGCCGAGATCACACCAATGCCTTTCAGCCTAGGCAATAGAGCAAGACTCTGTCTTAACAATTAAAATAAAATAAAAAGAATCTATTCTAATCTAATAGCTGTAAGTTACTAAGAACCTTTAATATTTGCTTGAGAGGTCATGAAGGGTCAGAGATTATTAAAGATTATTGATATTAACACTGTATCAAATACAGTAGTGGGAGAAAAATAGTTTCTGATTAATTTATCAGATATAGCTTATTATATATGTGATAGAGGTATGATTGTCCTCATTTTCAAATCACAAAATATAGCTACTAACTGTAGGGGATTTACCAAGACTTAAAACTTAAGTTTGTTTAGTTTTAAAGCCTTTGCTATATTTTACCACTTATTTCACGGTTCCTATAAGAATTTTATTTAGTTTTTACCATAGCAAGTGCAAGCTCAGATAACTAATTTTCCAGATCTTTAATTACTGTCAAGTCCTGTTAGCTAAATGCACCTCAAAGTAATTTCTAACATTCATACTTACTTTTCAGCAAGGCCAGACTTCGGACTACCCCATGATATATCTTTCCTATTTCTGTTTCTAACTTTGCCTGGGCTGGTTTCTTCTTTAATAGCAATTTGTCCCTTCTTGTCTGCCTGTTTTGAAGGTATACAATTTTAAGATCCAGATCAAGTCAGGTCTCCCAACACAACAGAGCTTAACATCACTTGTTATTTTCCACATACTAATTATAATATTAACAAGCTAGCCTTTGAAAGAAAGGTAAAAGAACACTTTAAACATTGTTAAAACATGACCAAACCATCACACAAACTCATTTAAAACAATTTATTTACCAGGGAGACATACAATGTTTTTGTTGATTGCTATTTTGTAGTATGAATTTGGATTGTCTACTTACTGAAAGAAAGAGGAAGCTGATCTGAGAAAAACATCAAAATAAAGAGGAGTTCTATGCTTTAAATATACAAATAAAATTTAAAGCATTAACAATATTAGAATATATCTTAAAAGTTCTTAACAATCATAAAATTCTAAAAATGAAAGTTGCAAAGATAAATAGTAGTGGTTAGAGGAAAATGAAAAATCTGCCTAATTTTCAGATGGCAGTTATCAATTTTATTTCCCCACATCTATAAAATATATTTTTAGATTATATACACACACACACACACACACACACACACACACACATAGTTGTACTATATATAGTGACATAAATATATTTATAGTTGCATATGTTACTGTCACTTAGGTATAATGATTAATGACTACTAATTGAGAACTGATGTGTGTAGATCATTTACATGAAAAGCACAAAGAAGTATATGCTAAAATTGCATCATGAGAAAAAAGTCCCAATGTCAATGAATACATTTTATTTCTTAATTTAATGACACAATATTATCAGTAAAAGAATATTCAAGGTAGTAAATATAACTTAAATGTGAATTTAGTTTCCAAAAAAATTTATTTAGGTTTCTGGATGTACTCATCAACAGCACAAAATCCATGCCCTGAACCTCCATAATATGTTGTTCCCTGATTTTCTTTGTGTTTTCGGAGACATATAGAAAGTCCTAAGAATCTAGTGAAAGTACAAAGAGAAGAGAAAGAGAGAGAGAGAGAGAGATCCCCAAAGAAATTAACAGCCCCCTAATTGCTAATTAAAAGCTCTTTGCTTTCTCATCACATGGCCAGTACAGCTGCTTCACATCCTACCACTGAAAAGGAAACACATAAATTCAAAGACAATATTGAGAGCAGCACCTGGTTCTGAGTGCACCTGCCGTGATGAGAGTATATTTCATACTGTCAGTAAATTAACATTTTCTAGGGCCCCAAAAGATGATTTTTTCACCTCATTTGACTTCTTCCATTGTCCCCAGTGTAAAGAATCAGTAGTTTTGCTTCCATTTTCTATACTAAATATATCATATCGTTGTTTGCTTCACTGGTGCAGACACCTGCCTCCTGCTGTAAATGCTGTGTTCCAGCTCTAACAGATTTCCCCAGGGCTTCCCATTCAAGTATTGGCTTGTAACTATGGCTTAATATCATGTCAAAATCTTTTAAGGAAGATACAGGCTGTCACGTCATTTCAAGATTGAACCTTCGTCTACTGAGATTCTGAAAATGTCCTTTGAGTGTTTGAAGCATGAGCAGACAAATAAAAGGCTAACAAGTCATTTGTAAAGATAATAGCTAACAGCATGCATTCTCCTTTCCCTCCCCCTTTCCATTAAATGTTGATAAAGAAAAAAGAGAGCAGACTGCAGGGCCCTAGTTTTCGTTATTTATAAACAGGTCAGAGGAAGCTTAAAACTCAAGTGTTTTAAAATGGAAAATAAAAAAATCTCCAACACCCTGAAAGGTTTTAAGAATCACTGAAACATGGATGAGATGTCAGTTTTCTGAAGGAAATAATTTTATAGACTCATGATAGAGATATGGTTGCTAAAAATGCTTTTAATGAATTAAAAAAAAATATTCGCTGTATTATAGAAAAAAAATTGGGCCTACTTTTACGTCATGGTGGCTTTATTGCTTGGTTTGAAGAGTAGTAGAAAAAGCTTTACAAGTTGGGAAGAAAATCAGGAAACGCTACAGAATTTGCTAAGTGGAATGGTCAGTTCTACATTTTTGAATTGCCACAATTCGTTCAAATATCATAGGTGGCAAATGAATAACTTTAATCTTTGTCATTTAGGAGAATCAAACTTCTCAATATACAGATACTTCCTGAGTTATAGTGATATTACTTACAATGAAGCCATTATAAATAAAAAATATTGTAAATCAAAAATGCATTTAATACCCCCAAAAAACCCTTTCTAAAGCTGAGAGAGAAAGAGAGCCATCAGGTCATGTTTGTATTTTTCAAATTTACAGTCATTGCCACCTTTGTTGCAGAAATGGTTTGGCCTGAGACTGAAATTTAGCTCTCCTGAAAATCAAAATGAGATGTTCTTAAAGAGCATTAACAGAGTTTTCAAGAGAAATAAACAGGGCAACAGAAAATAATGTATTGGATAGAACATAGCAAAACCCACACCAAATTTGAAAATAACAAATAAATCATTCTTGGAGAAGAGTGTTGATGTCCTACAGTTAGTATCCCCAGTCCTAATCATCTTCCTTTCTACATCTTGAACTAGGATTACTGAAATATTCAACTACTGAACTGACCTTCTTTTGGAACAACATCAAATGTATTAGGTTGGTGCAAAAGTAATCGCAATTTTGCAATTAAAAAAAAAAAACTGCAAAAAATTACTTTCGTATGTCTCTAACAAAATGGACTTTGCTTCCCTGATCCTTCATTGGAATCGCTCACCACAAGTCCAAATTCTGTAAGTGCATCTCCCCACTCAGTCCTTCTGAAATATACCATGGTTGCTCTAACGGGCATTCTTCTTTGCTGCATTAAGCTTATAAATGTAACTCTGTTTGAATACAAGTACACTCCTGATAGATCTGCCAGGTTGGTGTTTATTAGTGGGAATTTCATTATGACTTGATTGATATTCTTGCTGACATAGACTAGGACTTGGTTGCAGAGTGAGATCCACTGAGTCTCTACTTGCTCAAGGCCATGTTGCTTACAATAGGGAGGCAATTCATGCACTGAATCTGAAATCGGAATATTTTCTTGATTCCTTTGGTATTAGTCTTATTTTTTTTGTCATAATGAGGAACTGTGTTAAGGAAAAAAAACCTCTTCTCAGGTCCACAAGGGGCGTGTTTTCAAAGCAGGAGCTTCCTAATGCCACACCTCCATGCACACCCCCATCCGGGAATCTAGGGTTCTTTGTCTGACTATCCTGGTAGGCAGGCTAGGCAGAAAATTCCAGGTGGACCTCTTTGTTCCAAAAGCCAGAGAAAAGCTCTGGGAGGAGGGGCCTCCATTGGAGACCTAGCAGCCAATCTGGTATCAAAAGACAAAGATCAATCACTCCTGAGGAAGTTTGAAAGAACTCTTCTCATTGGACAAGAACATGAATGGGGCAGAAATACTCCAAGGTTAAAACCCACTGCTCCTCACCTATACAGATTCCTCCCTTGAATCCCCTCCCACAGCAGCATGGGAGCTGCCTCTCTCTCTCTCTCTTTCTCTCTCTCTCTCTCTCTCTTTCTTTCTCTCTGCCTAATAAATTGTTTATTTGCTAAACTCTTTGGGTTCACAATGTTTACTCAAAGGGTAAGCTCACCAGGCCTCCAGGACCCCTTCCCCATTCTTGGGGTAAGAGAGGTCTCGAATGAGCTATAGCCTATCTTCACAATAATGATATTGTATAGAGATTTGAAACTGGAAAACATATTGGTTAAAATCAACCTTATTGATGATAACAATGAAATAAACTCAAACATAAAGGCAATTGATTTTGGTTTAGCAGTGAAGAAGCAAAGTAGGAGTGAAGCCATGCTGCAGGCCATATGTGGGTCTCCCGTCTATATGGCCGCTGAAGTTATCAATGCCCATGACTATAGCCAGCAGTATGACATTTGGAGCATAGGCATCATAATGTACATGTTATTATGTGGAGAACCACCCTTTTTGGCAAGCTCAGAAGAGAAGCTTTTTGAGTTAATAAGAAAAGGAGAACTACATTTGAAAATCCAGTCTGGAATTCCATAAGTGACTGTGCTAAAAGTGTTTTGAAACAACTTATGAAAGTAAATCCTGCTCACAGAATCACAGCTAAGGAACTACTAGATAATCAGTGGTTGTCTAGGCTCTGGGCACATCGAATGGGGGAGCTGAACCAGGATCTGGGCACATCGGATGGGGGAACTGAAAGTATCTTCAGGTTGCCCCACTCCCTCCCCCCAGCTACAATAAGAATAAAATCTTCAAGGAATTTTTGGTTATGCTTTCAAATTTATGCTTATTTTTTAATGACAATTTTGTTACTGAAATTCTAGGGCTTTAACCTAGGTCCCATTCCTTGACACAAAGAAAGCTGATCACTGAGACAGTGAATATTGCTAGGGATAGAGGCTTTATTCAGGTGCTATAGCCCAGGAGAAGGGCAATTAGTCTCAACTCCATCTCCTCAACTGACTAAAATTAGGGGTTTATATAGCAAGAAAGAAATGTAACCTGTGTGGGAAAATAGGAATTAGGGAGGGGTAAGAAAGAATTGGTCAATAGGAAGGAGGTGTTTGGTTAAGCAGTCATGATAAATGAGGGTTGTGGTATTGTCCAGATGTGGTGACTTGGTAAGTTTCAGCTCCTTTATGCTGTCTGGGAGGCCTGATGCTTTGTTTCCAGAGAAAGGAACTCAGATAAGACAGATGTAACTTTCTCAAGTTTTAAGACTGGGAGGGTCAACTTCTATGTTTATTCAAAAGAAACCAGAAACATCAATTCTATGGGACAATTGGGACAGTTTTAGTTTGACAAAGCATGAATATGCTCCCAGTCTTTCTGTTTGTCTAGTTATTATCTGAACAAGTGTCTGTATATAAGGACAGGTTTATACAGAGTAGAACATATATATGGGTTTTATGAGCCTGTATTCTAAGCCAGTACCAAACCCTAATGAGTTCAGAGGTTCTGTCACAGCTGCATCCTTTGCTTTGCTTTTCAAAATTTAATAGGAATTTCTTCAGTTTTGGATCTGTGAAATTTGCTTTGAGATCAATCTCCTGGCCACATATTTGCTGGCTAAGGGACTGCTATCTAACCCAAAATAAGCATGTTGGTAATATTGCTTTGGTTTGTCCATTAACAAGCTTGTGCTTTCTCTGGAAGAATGCTTGGTTCTTTGATTCTTGTTGTTGTTGTTATTATATTTATCTTTTTAAATGGTCTAACATTGACTTGACAATTTCAAATTAATTGCGGAAGCTATTCAAAAAAGTTTTGACAGCTAGAAGATTGTTCATTTGAGAGTTACCTTAGAACAACAACCAAAAGAAGCATTTGCAGGGAAATTCTGTGTCTTATCTATGTAAAAAAGGGATTAATTTGTTTATCATAAGAGACATCCTTTCTTTCTTTAAACATTTGAGCATTGATAAGAACGAGTATTTTAATCATATACACAAAGGAATTTTCAAGGTCAGGTCCTTGATTAAATTTTCTATAAATGCTGAATTATTGAAGATATAAAAACATAAAAGTTTTCCTTCCTAATTGATAGCCTCCTACAGAAGTAAGCCCATATATAGTAATATTTTTGTTTGAGTATCTGGCTTCTTCTAATTTCTTCCATATGCTTTTTCCCCAATTTTTTTTTCCTTCCTTCTCTCACAGTTCTCTAGGAAACTTTAATAATTAACTAATAAAAATAAAATTCCACTCACTATACTGTTTTAAAATCATACATTTTAATATGCTAGGGCTATCTCAATATTGACTCATCCTGAAATTTGTTCAGAATAATTCATGGAATACAACAATATATAGCTCTGATTAATCCACACTCTAACCTATGAATACAATACATCTGATTATTGAGTTTACACATGTTTCCTTTTGTGGTTTGCATAATTCCCTTTGGAGGTAATTACAAAATTGATTACCAACAAAATCACTGGTATATTTCTCCTTTTTACAAAGGTGTATGATTTATTTCTAACTTAACTAGCCTTAGCTGCATTATCTTCAGCAGAATCCATGATAGCAGTTTTCAAACACTCAGGTCTGAGCATGGACCCTGGGTGGCCTCCAAGATGGAAATTAAATGCGTTAGTGTATCAGTTACAACACAAAAACAGAACAGGTTTTCTTACATTATAAAAATGGTGCTTGTCTTCAAGATAGTCCCTGTCAACTAGGGTACATTTAGATCAATCAGTTTTCCCTCTCAGGAAATGAAATGTTGAAATAACTTCATCCAAGACAGAAAAATGCCTGGGCTCCAACTTGAGACTCCCTTTTTATAAAGAGTGTGTGCCACATAAAATAAATCACAAATCATTAAATCAATAAATCAAAGGCAGTGCTATGAAGTAGATACTTGACAAATAAATGCTAATATTCCACAAATATCCACAGTGAAGACTCTGAGATTTAAACTCACAGTTTTTAGGCACCACTCTGTTCTTTTCTCAGAATACTTTTTCCATTTTAGTTCTTGTTTTTGAAACTTGCCAGCATGTTTCTTGGTTGAATGATCACTGAGCAAAAGGAGACCAAATCCACTTTCAAACCTTAACATAGGTACTAGCTCTAAATGCAATATAATGCATAATAAAGTATTTAACTCTACCTCTGATTTGTATCTGAGGTAGAGAAACAAAACCAGACCAATTGTACCACAGGTTTGTTTTTTTTTTTTTTAAATAAACAGAAATTGACCCTCCTGGTCTTCAAGCTTGAAACTTACATTTGTCTTATCTGAGCTCTTTTCTCAGGAAACTGACCTTCAAGCCTCCTAGATAGTATCCAGGAACTGAAACTACTTTTCCTTACCCTCCCTAATTCCTATTTTCCGAACTGACCACGTGCTTCCTGTTGGCAAACTCTTCTTCCTTACTCCTCTCCAATTCCTGTTTTCCCCCAGGTAGCTACATTTCTTCTCCACTAGAAAAGGCCCCAGTTTTAGTCAGCTGGGGAGACAGATTTAAGATTTACCTCCCATCTTATCAGCTGCAGCATCAAAATATAGCCTTTTTCTTTGATGATACTCATTGTCTCAGTGACTGGCTTTCTTTGTGGTGAGCAAAAGTATCTAGATTAATCTCCTGGCATTTCAGTAACATATCAAGTACATTGTGTTCGTATAATTTAGATTCTATTGGCACATACAATTCTGCAGTGGTAAGTTAGGGAAGATAGTTTGTTTTGGAATATGCATGTATATATGTATGGATGTATTTATCTACTCTTTATTTACACTTACATTTCTTCTGGAATGAATACACACACATATAATATGTATTTATGCTCACTTTTCTTGTATTTTTACTTCAAAACAATAAGTAACAGATCTTTAAACAATATAGAATTAATATAAATAAGATTATAAAAGGCATGCATTATTAAATACATCAAATAATAGATTTTAATGTAAACAATGAATTCTTGATTTAATGAGGCAGTGTCTCTTCTCAAGACATAATAGAATTGAGGAAATTGATAAGGCTGTATCTAATTTGAAATAGCGCAAACATTATTTGTCCTTGAAGTCAGCTTTTGTCTTTTTTCTGTGTGCTGCAAGATAGAGAAAGCATCATGAGAAAAATTTTGAGACTTAGCAAGTATGGGAAAGGAGAAAATACAGAAATAAGAAGTTGGAAATGAAATCAATGTAGTTTGTAAAAAAAATCTGAAACTTTATTAACTTAAAGAACCCATTCTGGATTGAAAAACATTTTCATCTTTTGTATAAATGTCTTTTATTCAATAAGAGTGTATTCTTTCTTTTCCATCTTCTCTCTCAAGATCTTATTGAAGTTACTTCTTTCAAAAGAATCTGTTCCTTCTTATTCCCTCTTTCCCCTCCTTGCAATCTATTTACCAATTTCTGTAACATTCCCAAAGCTTATGTAAAAGATAACATAAAGAATTATTTTTATTATATACCAGCTTCTTCTGGTTTCTTCATCACAGTACTATATATATACAAATACACTATATATAAATAGTACAATACTATTTACCAAAATGATTACGGAGGTAGGGTTTAGCTTCTCCATTTGTAATTTATTTTACTGACAATGAAGATTTAGTTTTTCTTATGACTCACCTATGAATACAAATTTTTGAAAACATACTGAGATATATTTTCATATTGATCCCATTCTAAAAAGATGAGCTTTCAAACCTGTCCGAACCAATAAAAGAACATTGCTATTCTTAACAGTTTTGCTCTTATTTCCAAACAGATTCTGTCACAAGCATATATTTATGTTGTTGTTTTGGGTACAAATCCAATAATAATTATGTATACATTATATTCAGTAGAATTGATTATTCATTTATACACCATAAAGAAAAACAAGAACAAATATTCATAGTATCTATTTTTATGGAAATTTTTGGTATACATTTTAATACCTGTCTAGTTACCATAATTTATTGTTATCTCTTTCCTTGGTAAATAAATGTAATTTTCTCACCTTTAGTTTTGTTTACACAATGAAGTCCTAATTATATGGGCTTTGGTCTCTGTTATTGCTGAGGTGTGTATTATTTAAAATAATTTATTATTTTTTATTTAAAAGACTTTTAGTAATATTTATAAAGGATATTATAAGAAACATCAGATTGTTGCTATTTTCTGTATTTTATTTCTGGTTTAAAATAACTTTTAATTACATAATTTCAAACAGAATACCACTTATCAAAATACCACTTGCTCTAAGATGTAACCTATAATCAACCAAAATCTTGAAAGAATAATTTAAAGGAAATTT